TCACAACTCCCTGCCCATGAATAATAAAACATTTTAATGGGGAGGGTATTTGAATAGATATTTCACCAAAGAAGATATATGGGTGGCAAGTATGAAAACATGAAAATATGGTTAAAACCATTACTCACCAGGAAAATGTAAATTAGACCCGCAATGTGATAGCACTACACACTTCATCAAAAAAGATCACCATACCAAAGTGTTGGCAAAGACATGGGGAAGCTGGGGTACTCATGCTCTTCTGCTGGAAATATAAAGCGGTACAACTACTTTGTGAAACAATTCTGAGGTATCTAAAAAACGGAAACACGTACTATATGACTTAGCTGCTGCACTTGTAGGTATTTATGTGAGAAAAGATATCATGATACCCACCAAAGACTTACACATGAATGTTCATGGCAGCTGTATTTGGAATGGTCCAAACTATAAGCAGGTTGCCTACATGTCCATTACTGTGTGAACAAGGAGACAAATTATGGCGGTCTTTACAATGGAATAAAACAAAGGAGCTTTTGACATAAAATAGATGAGAACATTTTAAACACAAATTCAATTTCTTTCATTGTTAAAGGATTTTTTTATTTTTTATTGAACTTTAGTAGTTTTTGTGTTCAAAGAATTCATTCATGTCATTTAAATTGTTGGATTTACGCAACTAAGCTGCTCATGACGGTCCCTGTTTTTGGAAGAACAGCTACAGACTGTAGATGAACTACATGGCTCATTTCTGGCGTTAGTAATCTGGGTCTTTGTTTTCTAGTCTGGCTAGAGGCCTACCCATACATGTATGCAATATATTCCCAAATAACCAGTACTAGTTTCTCTGTTATTCTCTATTCTTCAATGTTTTCCTTGTGGTGCTGAGGACTGAATCCAGGACCTTTTATATGCTAGGGAAGCCCTCTACCACTAAGCCTTTTTGAGACATGTTTCTTTAAAAAATATTTTACTTATTATTTTTATTTTATGTGTATGAGTGTATTGCCTGTGAATAGGTAAGTTCACCCATGCTGTGCAATGCCTGCAGAGGACAGAACAGTCTGTTGGATCTCCTGGAACTGGAGTTTCGGACAGTTGTTAGCTGCCATATGGGTACTGGGATTCAAACCTGGGTCTTCTGCAAGTACAACCAGTGTTCTTAACCACTGAGCCATCTCTCCAGCCCCTTGAGACATTGTTTTATTACACAGTCCAAGCCAGTCTTGAACTTGAAATCCCACCTCTGCCTTTGTGACAATCCCAATACACTTTAGTATTTATTTATTATTGATTGGTTGGTTGGTCTGAGACAGGGTCTCCCTGCAGCCCCAGCGGGCCTAGAACTAAGTAGTCCATGCTGGCTTCAATCTCAGAGATCCACCTGCCTCTGCCTCCCAAGTGCTGGGATTAAAGGCATGTGCCACCATGCCCGGCTTATGATATTTATTAATTCCTAACTTCTGCCTTGTTCTATTTCTTCTTTTGAAGGTAGAAGTGATATTATTGAGTGACTATCTTTCTTCCTTTCTAATGTAAGCATTTACTATTATAAAATTTCCCCTAAGCACTGCCTTAATGGCATTTCCACAAATTTTGATGTTTCCATTTTTACAGAAATCAAAATATGTCTTAATTTCTTCATTGATTTCTTCTATGACCTACATATTAAAGATGTGTGTAATTTATGTGCAACCACTTGGAGAGCTTCCAGAAATATTTTTGTTATTGATTCCTAATTTAATTCTATTGTATTTAGAGACTATTCTGTGTAGCTTGAAATAATACACACAGACTTGTTTTTTAGATTCCACAATTTTTTCTGCCCCAGTAAACTGTGATGTGACTTGAAAACACATTCTGGGGGCTCAGCTGTTAAGAGTACTGACTGCTCTTGTTCCTGTTCCTCCAGGGTTCGAGTCCCAGAACCCATATGGCAGTTATGAACCGTCCTTGACTCCAGTTCCAGGGGAATCTGAAGCCCTCTTCTGACCTTTGCAGCATTGCACGACATGGGTGCACTCACACACATGCAGGCAATACACTCATACACATAAAATAAAAATAATTTAAAGAAAAAGAAGGAAAACACGTTCTGATACCATGGAGAAAGTGTTTTATAAATCTCAGTTTGCTAATGTGGCCAGCAAGATCCACGATTCTGCCCTTTCCTGATTTTCTCATTGCTTTTCTATCTTTTGAGAAAGGGCCGTTGACATTTCTGACTATGTGTAAAGATTCATATATTTCTTTTTCCTATCAGCTTTTGCTTCAAGTACTCTAACTTTGTTACTAAATGCATATATGCTTTGGATTATGAGCTTCTCCTAGTGATTGATCCCTAAACATTATGAGCAACCTTCTTCATCCTTAGCAATAATCCTTGCTCCAAAATTTATCCAGTCTGACATTAATATAGAGACTCCAACTTTGACTGGGTTTAGGTTGTCATATCTTTTTCCATTCATCTACTTTTAATGGATTTGTGCATTTGTATTAAAAGCATGCTTCTTATAGGCAGCATATAGTTAGGTCTGAACATTGTTTTTCTGTAGAGCAAGTTGAGAATGATTGCCTTTGGAAAGCAAAAATAGAGGTGGAGACAGGAGCACCAGGTGAACTCATGCGTCATGGCTTGGAAAAGTGTTGCAGGTTACCATGAGGCCTTTAATGGAAGTGTTGGTTGATTTTTGTTCCTGTCTTAAGATAAACTAAACTTTATTGCCTAGCAGAATGTAACGAAGGCCCATAAAAACTGTTCAAAACGAACAGTTATATGTATAAGTTATGGGGATAGTATATTCATTTCCTGCATGATCCTACTCTAAAGGCTTGTAAAATTAATTTCAAGAAAACCATGGTGTTCTGAACATTACAGACATCCAGACACACTCTTCCATTAGTAGCTGTTCTTTCTGGTGATTGATGGAGAGAACAGAGAGGAAGATCAACAATAAGGCAGCATGGTAAATTAAAATATGTGTCAAATTCAGGATTCTCTTGCCCCTCAACCAATGACACAAAAAAAGTAAACAAAAATCTTGGTGCTCATCAGGAAAAAAACTGCAAGTTGTAGCTTGGATGAGTCAGATAAGCACACCTCAAGTGCAGTATTCCATTTATAGATTTTGGAAATGAATTTTACATGGAGACTGTTCATAATACCTTTTTATTGAGCTATGTTTCACAGTATGAAATTGACCAACTTAAAATACTTTCTTTGGGGCTGAGGATATAGCCCAGTGACAGAGTGCTTGCCTGGGTTTAATTTCTAACACCTCAAAAATGATAAAACTCCAACAGTTTTTAGTATATTCACTATATTGTATAACTATCACCACTACCTAATCCCAGAATATTTCCATCCCCTCAAAAAGAAGCCCTGCACCTGTGGTAGTTAGTCTCAATCTCCCAATTCCTCCAACCCTGGCAACCCCTTGCTGCTTTGTGTTTAAAGATTCACCTATTCTGGGCATTTCATATAAATATACTTATATAATGTATGGTTAGGATGTGTCTTTCATGATTATATCATACCTACTATTCAGAGACACTTTATACTAGAATATAATAAAGCCACCTGAATAATACTAACTATGGGAATAGGAGGAGATTCTGCCTATTATTTAGTGTATGTGAGTGTGTGTGTGTGTGTGTGTGTGTGTGTGTGTGTTTGTGAAATGTTGTGAAGGTGTATATACACATGGAGGTAAGTCAATGTCAGGTGTTGTTTCTCAGAAGATTTTCACCTTGCTTTTTGAGACAGAGTCTGTCCCTGGGACCTGGGTCTTGCTAATTACACTAGGCAGGCCGACCAGTGAGCCTCAGGGATCTTCCTGTCTCCACCTCCCAGCACTGGGATTACCAACATGAACCACCATGCCCAGAATTTTACATGGGTGCTGGTGACTCAACTCAGGTCTTCAGGCTTGCAGAGAAAGCACTTTACTGACTGAGCTATGGCCCCAGCCTGCTACCTACCATTTCTAAGTCACCATGTCCGAGTGCTGCTTTTCTCACACTGTGACTTGTGAGGACCTCAGTATTCTCTGTTCTAAAATGGGGGTATCAGGTAAGGTGATAGCAAAGATCTCTCTTTAATTTCAGTTGCTCCAGGAATTCATGGTAGAGACACATTCTGGTGGTGGTGGGGAGCGGATGTCATGAAATGAAGTAATTATATTAAAAAATCTTAGTTCCCAGTTCCACTGTGGAGACATGAATTTGGAGCAAATGTTATTAATGATTCTTTGCCTTGATGATAAGCTTAGGTAGAGAGCACACGTTTCGTACTCAGGACAGAAATACAACAAAAGTAAGCTTGAGTTTGCATCTGAGTGTGCTTCCCTCCAATTCTGAAAAGGGATGCTATGATCACCACAACTTCCTTCCTGATCGAAAGCTCAAGGATTAAAAACTCTTCGGAATTTCCATGTATGTGCTGTGCTTTTTTTGCTTTCTTTTTCCATTCACGATGAGATCCTAGAATGCAGAATGATGCCAGCTACAGAGTTGACACTCTATATTCACTATCTGTTGAATAAACAGTATATGGATTCATGGAAGTTAGTAGCTAAAAGCTAGCCTAACCAATAAAAAATATTTTGGTCTTTTTGAGACAGGGTCTCCCTGTAGCCCCAGCTGTTCTGGAACTCATTATATAGACCAGGCTGGCCTTGAACTCACAGAGATCTGTCTGCCTCTGCCTCCACGTACTGGGATTAAAGGCGTGTTCCACCACATCCAGTCCAATAAAAATTTAAAAAGACATGTTCAGTTTTCTTATACATTTCTTCTTACAATAGGTTAAGTGACTTGTTAAGACACAAACTTATGTGGGGTTGGGCATGGTGGCACACACCTGTACTCTCAGCTCTTAGGAGGCTGAAGCAGGAGGATCTTGTGTTCAGCGCTGGCCTGGGTTGTGTAGTGAGACCCTTGACAAAGAAAATAAAGTAACATAAATAAAATATCCATGTTCCACATGAAAACATAAAATGTTAAAAACTGAAACCACAATATCTGAAAACTAGAAATGTTTATTTTATTAATTTTGACACAATGCTAGATACAGTACATTTAGGATGCCACTTTGTTGCAGAAATTAGCACCAGCTGGTGGTTGAAATTACATAGAATCACAGAATTCATCAAATATGTGCATATTTTGGCTGTATTAAAAATAAACAAAAACTAGAAAAACTAGAAATATGAATAAATGTTACCCAGTTTGTTTTTACCACTCCTGGGAAGAAAAGGAAATGATTACCACACTAGACTTAAAGATTTATCTTTAATAAGCATATATTATGTGTTTTTTGAAGACTAAAATTCAGAAGCTTCTGCAAAGTCATACACAATGGAGCTGCATGCATGTGCTTGCATACGGAGGAATTCCTGAGTAGGTATTCAAGTTGGAGGAGAAGTTGGGGGACTGTAAGGCCTTACCTCCTGATGCTCTTCTTCCTAGCTGCCCTCACCCCCAACCCTTCCTACCCAACTGTGACAGTCATGTCATGCCCAGCATCAAGACTGCCTGAATTTGTATGTTCTTTCAATTACCTAGACCTGATTTTTCAATTTGATTAATGCATTCACGATCAGGAATATTTTGAAATAGTCTAATTGTTATAAAAATGGAACCATTATGCCAAACACTGTAATTACAGTTATGCCATTTTTATTGCAGAAAAATGTAATGAATCTACCATGCCAACCTAGTTGTGCACGGTTGGTATAGGTCTATATTTTCAGCAATAAGCAGGTTATACAGTTTTAGGGTAAATGCCTGACTTTCTGAACTTGTACTTTCCTTCTAGGACTTCACTTTCTTTCCTTTACTCTGAAGCCCACTCACCCATGCACAGCACAGAAACCAGTGGATTATGCGGAACTTGGCTGGAGCCAGAGTGGAGGAAGGGTTTGGCATGTTTTGTCTAAATACTGAAGGATGCTTATATTTCACAGGCCCATGCATTGTACTGTCTATAACCTACCCCAGACCTGTGAAGCAAGAGTGCCTGACTGTGGATTACACTAAGATTTAAATAAGAGACAGAATGTCTGAGTCTTATCCTAACTGCTCTAGGTAAAATTTTCTATTAACCAAAACTTTGATAAACGAGCAGAAATGAAGCAAGCCTGTCATGTTTTATATTCAGAAACTGAAAAAACTTTCTTAAGTCACTTTTAGTGTCTATAACACTCAAGGTATTATTATTTTTTTAAAGTCTGCCCCAAAGTTCTAGTCTACTTGAAAACCTCATTTTAATTCTAAAGTTACATTGGTGCTCATATAACAAGCTACATTTGGCACAACTGTATTTTTTGGTGCTTATGAGAAGAGGAAAATTTTTAATAAGCTTTTAAAAAATGAAGTACTAATTTCCTATAATTAAACCTTGATTCCAGAAGGGATTGTTGAGAGAGATACAGCATGCTTCATTGCTATGAAAATGTGTTATGCAACTGAGCTTATAAAATTACTAAGATACCTTTCCATTACAGAATCTAGCTAGCATAGTGTTTCTGCAAATTTTAAAGACTTAAAGGCTCAAAGTCATATCAAAATCCGTTTTGAGACTGAGGGTTTTCAGGGATTCTGTTTTCAGTATTATTTTTCTTTATTCAGTGTAGTTTATGGGGATGCTGCCGAGAAAGCAGGATTTATTTTCCATTACCCCAAATGCCTATGAAAAACACTAGTCAGTAGAGCAAATGTAGATGAAGATATCGCTAGTTCAGACCTCATATGACACTGGAAGGGAGGGGAACCCAGTTATTAGCACAGCAATGCCACATTCATGTTGGAACATAAGTTATGCTTCATGAGTTGTAGTCTGTCAAGGACAGGTGGGTCCCTGGACTCTCACCTGAACTAGACCTATGCAGTCTATCTACAGGATTCTTTCATCTAGAGAGAGCTCTCCTGTCTACCCACAGCCTCCAATTTTAGATTTCACATTTAAAGGCGTGCAAAGGTATAAACCAACTGTCGGCATTCAACCTTGGTTCATCAGTGGAGTTAACTTCACTTAAACTCAGTGGTAGGAGCACCTGCAATACTATTATTTCTGAACTGACTCATTAGAGGTAACAGGAACAACACACAAAAAAATCCAAGGACCATGGAAACTGGTACTGCCTGAGAGTTGGCCTGAGAAAGAGTATGATTCTTCGGGAATAACAAATCTTAGACCTTACAATGCTGCAGGCATTTATTTAGGAAAGTATTGAGATACAGAAATTATATCTCACTTTGTAAGGATTATTCACCTACCAATCTTCCTGGAACTACTAATCTAGATCCCACTTTTACCTGATAGAATCACAAATGTGTTCCCAGGTCGTCACAACAATGTGTTTTCTACTGAGCAACATTCATAAATCTTGTAAATAAATACGTGAGAAGTCTCAGGTTACATTTAGAGTTTCCTTGAGCACACAAAATTGTGAGCTTTGCCCTTGTTACAGTTTTTTAGTTGCCATTTTCCTCGTTTTTGAACCAAAACACAGTTCTTTCCAGGCTTTGAACGTTGGGGGGCCCCTTTCTTCCAGTTGGTGAATGAGACAGGTTCACCCCCAATCCACTCCCAGTGGCCAGAGTGCACTTGGTTCTTTAAACCTAATGTGAGCCAAGGACAAATGATTTTAGTGCGTTTAAACTTTGATAACATGGCTGGCCTCTTCTTTTTCTTTTTCAGTTCTGCTTTTCATTTGCTCTATTTCTGTCTGCAGTCACGGGGATTGAACTGATTTCTGTACACAGGCTAGGCAAGTGCTCTAAGACTGAGCTATATTCCTCTCCCCCTTATTTATTTATTTTTTACTTTTTGAGCATGGTTCCATTAAGTTGCCCAAGCTAGCCTTGAACTCATGATCCTTCTACTTCAGCCTTCCAATAATTGGAATCACAGGTTTGTGCCACCAGGGCCAGCCTATTTTATTGTTCTAAGCAGTTTTCTTAACCAAATGTGGGCCCCAGTTCTATAACAAAGAACAGAATTTGGTCCTACAACAGGCCGCCAGTCAGAACTGTCATGGAACCAAGCAGATTCTGTCCTTTTTGTAAGTTACTCCTCTCTGAATTTTAGTTTTCTCATCTAAGGAATAGGTATAAAGAAGTTGCAGATTAAAAGCAATATCCCATATAAAACCTAGCAATCTAATCTACTGTATCCCTGCCACTTACCCACAAAACTCCTACCGGGGGAAGCACACATTTGTTGCACATTGTTGTCATTCCCTTTCTTTAAATGCCTTGGTTTTTATATTTGAAAATAGTTTATGATATATTATTCTTAGTCTGAAATTTAAAATGTTTCAATCTGCTATGATTTGAATAAAAATCAGCTTTCCTCTCTTTACTCTCACTGGCAATCTCTAAAAATTACCCTTTAATGTTGTAAAGCTTCTGTAACATATGCTTAAAGAAACCTTCTCTCCCACTCTGATAAAAGAAATAAAAAGGGGGAAATGTGACATAGGAGTTTCCCATAACAGCATATTCTGACGTCTTGCATATAATTACCCCAAATGCAACGTCTCTGTGTTGAGGCTGTGGACTCACTGATTGTGATGTACCCTGAAAATTCTGCTTCTGAAATGACTTGAAAAGATTTGCTATTACTGTCAAAATTATAGAAAATATTAAAAACTCCAAAAATCAAGAATAAAATTCCAAGTACTATAATTCTTGACTAGAGGTAATTTCCAACGTTAGCCTACAACTCTCTCTTTATATATATGCATGTATGTATATTATATATAAAACACTTTTTTATTCTAAATTACTCCATACTTCATATGGTGTGAACTCTGCCTTTTCACTTAGTAAATGGTCACAAGTACAATGTCCTATACATCTTATATATAATAATATATATAATATATAACTGTTGAACAATTAATGTATATATACATAAGATATTTTTGATATTCCTTTACTAGATAACATCTTACGGTAGCACTAAATAGTAAATATTTCTTCACTTAGCCCTTAAAGTTATACTTTAACTTACCCTATTTATAGACAGTTCTAAATTTTAAAAGTTTAGAAATGTCATTCCATAGGGTTCTCTGCCAATCCGACTACATCCCTAGTTACTTCTTTGGAATAACTGTGTACAAATGAAAGTATTTTGTTAAAAGGTTCAAGATGGTCTTTATTTTTCAGTGCTAGGGACTGAGCTCAGGGTCTGGTACACACTGAGCATGTGCTCCATCACCAAGTTATACCACAGGCCTTAAGATGAGTTTTACTTGAATAACCATCTAACCATTATATGCTATTGTAAGTTACAATCACTTGGGCAAGGGAAGGGCGTGGCCAGCGTTGGCTCTATGCTGTTTGTGTGCTTGCTGCCTGCTTGGTGGAGTGCAGATACTTGCCTATCCAGAAGGGCTTTCTTCCACCCATTTCCCACAGCCACCGCATATGCTGCCTGGAGAACACCGTTACAAGGTTGCCCTGGTGCCTGCACAAAAACCAAGGAAAATGGGGGGTTCAGCCACAGGGAGCTTACATTTCTGCTCATATAAAATGTATAACAGAAATTAAAAACAGAAAGAGAAAACATGAAGCTTAAAACAATTCCTTTCCAAGAAGGAAAGAAAGAACTTTCCAAGGCTTTAACACTGTAAGTTTTTTTTGTTTTGTTTTGTTTTGTTTTTTTTTTTTTTTTTTTTTTTTTTGTCTTTTTGAGACAGGGTCTCCCTGTAGCCCCAGCTGTCCTGGAACTCACTATGTAGACTAGGCTGGACTTGAACTCACAGAGATCCGCCTGTCTCTGCCTCCCAAGTGCTGGGATAAAAGGCGTGCACCACCAGGCCCGGCTTAATACTGTAGTTTTAATTTGAAGAGTTTGCAGAATGGGGAATGGGGAATAGCAAGGAAAGTGCTGTCTTATTACATCTGGACTTTAAATCACAGTTCAATAGGGTTAGGGTATCTTTTGGGAAATTAGCAACTGCCTACTTGTAAAGATTTGTTACTTAATATCAAAACATTACTATTACTATCCTCCTCCTCCTCCTCCTCCTCCTCCTCCTCCTCCTCTTCTTCAACATCAATGCCACCACTACCATCATCATCATCACCATTTTTGAGACAGGGTCTCATGTAGCTCAGGCTGGCTGCAAACTCAGTAAGGATAACCTTGAATTTCTGGTACTCTTATAGGAATTTTTTAAAACTAGTATAAATTTGATAATCATCCATTTAATTTGACCAGTGAGATAACCCCAATTTTTTTTCAAATAAAATGACTTGAAGTCGAAATATTGAGCTTGCCATGTTTACTCAAATCACCCCATAAACATGATCTTTTCATTTCATTCAGGAAAATGAGATGAGCCCCATACTAAAGCCTTCATCCATTTTCAAAGAAGTTAAAGAATCTCTTTCTTGCCAGCACATACAATTTTCCCACAAAACAGAACTGTCTATGAATTACTTTTGCAGCTAGCTGAATTATTCCTATAAGTAGTAGTTGATTATCCTAAGTCTCCAGTGGAATGTATTAAAAGCTCTTTAAAACCACTTCAATAAAAGCTAGTATATTTCTTTTTTTTAAAAAAATAGAAAAACAGGTTAAAAAAACAAGTACATAATGTATGCATGTATCATATCATATTGTGCCTTCTAAATGTATAATCATTTTCAATTAATAAAACAAAATAGTAATTTAAAAATATTTAAGGACTGGCAAGATGGCTCAGTGGGTAAAGGAGCTTGCTGCCATTCCTGATGGCCACAGTTTGAGGCTTAGGCCAACATGGTGGAAGGAGAGAACCAGTTCCTGCAAACTGTCCTCTGACTTCCATATGTGGGTCATGACAAGCATACAACCTCCCTGCAATAGAAAGAAAGGAAGAAAGGGAGGGAGAGAGGGAGGGAGGAAGGAAGGAAGGAAGGAAGGAAGGAAGGAAGGAAGGAAGGAAGGAAGGAAGGAAAAAAGAAAGGTAATTTAAAAAATTTAAGATCAACAACAACAACAACAACAAAAAATCATGATGACTGCCTTGCTTGGTCAATATTTCTTAATATGAAGACAAGAATCAAAATTAGTAATACATACAGGGTTCAACAACTGTTGAACTAAACTTTATTCATTCTACTTATGACTTTCCAAAATTCAGATCTATTTCTCCACTCCATATATAGTAACTGTAATGTATTTGTTTCTCAATGCTACCCCCCCCCCCCCCCTGCCCTTGGCCTCTGCACAGCATTCTGCTTCTCTGTAACTCATTGGTGCTTTTCAGGTGTCCTGAGAATTTGTAAGACTCTTTGCTCTTCCCCTGAATGGCTTTAGGCTGCTGGACTGGGGGCTTTATGACTTGGCTCTGAACTCACTATTAATTGCTGGCTCCTGGCTGACAGCTATGGCTAGCTATGATGGGGCATTCGACTGTGCTCTGGGCTTGGGACATATAACATCAGACTTGTGTTAAATGCATCTGATGGCTGTCTGAGCAACGTGCACTAAGAACTGTGAGGAGGGTTTCCCTTCTGCTTGGCCCTTCTGTCCTCTGCTGGGTAGTTTTCTTACCGAAATCACCAACCTCACAGTCTCCATCATCATCAGGAAGTGATAGGCTTATTCAAAGATACTTAACATCTCCCCTGGCTTGAAGATTGTTTTTGAAACTATCTTTAAAACAGACTTGATTTGTAAAATGTGTTTGAGCTGCATAAATACAACAAATCCCAAAAGAATCATACAGGAAAATATCACATAAGAGTTAGGTCAATTATTCACAAAACAAATTCTGTGTATTTATATGATGACTTTTAAATAAAAATATTATTCCTTTTCTTTTTGCTCAAATACCTATAAAATAGTGGATGATATGTGTGTAGACATGCATATTTATGGATATAAAGATAAAATATATAGACACACATATACAAGCAAAAACCCTTTGATAACCCTGAAAATTGAAGGCATTCAAAGCACAGGATTAAAAACAGAGACCAATTTTTCTGGCAATAAAAGCAAACATTTACTTCTTCAAAATGCTTTGAATAAATACCAGCATATTTCAGGGCAACTCTTTACGGATAGGCCAGCAGGGGTTCCAGACACTCCTGTGGGAAGGTGAAATGACTTCATAGATAATGATCTATAATAATAGAATTACCAAGCGTACAGTGACTGCCTTAGGAAATGAGAGATGAGATTACAATATGTAAATCCAAGAAATGCCTAATCTAGCAGTCTGGCTCCTTTGGGTTAGAAAAATAATAAAACACCAATAGGGAGGCAAAAAGATTGGCGATAAAGAATGTGTTGAGTTAGTAATCTGATTAGGGACAAAGGCTAACATACAATTTGCTGTTCTCATTGAAACATGGGTACTGTAAATGACCCTCTGTTAAAAAACAAGAACGTGAGTAAGAAACTTTAGAGACATAGATCAGGGACAGCCCAAGGAAGCAGTTCAGGATCAAATAATGGTCCCTCAGACCAAATCAAAACACATTACTTATGTGTGCCAATTCTAACCACAGATTCTAAAGCCGTAGCTTTTAAAATATCAAAAGAGAAAGTAGATCTTAAATTTACAAAATGTAAAAATGTGACTTTAACTTTACAAAAGGGATTGACAACTGCTAGAGAAATAACCATTTACAAGCCAATAACATGGAGGAGGATAGGATGAACCAGAAAAGTAGTGAGTGAAGGGAAGCAAGGAGTCTCAAAGGATGACTAAAATGCATGCTGAATAGGTGGAGGAGTGCGTAGAGTTCAGAGAAAACTTGTATTGAAGAGGTGGTCTCACCACCCAAAATGTTCATCTTAGAGTCATATAACTCTTGCAGCAGCCTTAAAAAAAAGTCATTCATTTTTATTTTTTATTTTATTTATTATTTATTTATTTTTTTGGGGGGGGGCTTTTTGAGACAGAGTTTCTCTGTAGCCCCAGCTGTCCTGGAATTCACTATGTGGCCTTGAACTCACAGAGATCCGCCTGCCTCTGCCTCCCGAGTGCTGGGATTAAAGGCGTGCGCCACCACTCCTGGCTTCATTCATTTTTATTTTATGTTCCTGGTGCCCGAGGCTGCTAGAAGAAGTTTATTTTTTTGGGGGGGGGCTTTTTGAGACAGAGTTTCTCTGTAGCCCCAGCTGTCCTGGAATTCACTATGTGGCCTTGAACTCACAGAGATCCGCCTGCCTCTGCCTCCCGAGTGCTGGGATTAAAGGCGTGCGCCACCACTCCTGGCTTCATTCATTTTTATTTTATGTTCCTGGTGCCCGAGGCTGCTAGAAGAAGAGGGCATCAAAGCCCTTGGAACTGGAATTACAGACGGTTGATAGCCATGTGGGTGCTGGGAACAGAACCCAGTCCTCTGCAAGAGCAGCCAGTGCTCTTAGCTGCTGAGCCATCTCCCCAGCCCCAGAGTAGCCATTTTTAAACTATAGTGTGTACAACTCTAATCAGCCTTCTTATCCTTTGAAATCAAATGCACATGGAAGTACTATGCAAACACAACCAAATATTTAATCCTTCCAAGTATTTAATTCTTTTACTAAATTTCAATGATTTTTGTAAAATCTCACATCATATATATTCTTTACTTTCTTACACACTCTTAGAATACTATCAGTAACAGTATTTGGTAGATGTTTTGGTTTCGCAAAGTGATGAATAAGTAATGTGGAACTTGACAGGCTTTTTTTTATTGGTAGCTAGCTGCTTTCTAAAACATATTCCTAAAACAGCTCCCTGAGACTAAAGTTCAACAAAATAACATTGAAATAATTTGAACAACAGTGGCTCTGAATCTACTCATGAAATCACATTTGATATGAGAACTGTGGGTCATTCTGATACAGTTTCCTTGAATCATCAGGGAGGTGGACGTTTTTCAGGTATCATAACAGATTTTATAATGATTAATTCCAGGACAAAATAACTTTCCACTTATAGTATTTCCAAAATGGCATTCATGTTCTGACATATGCAACCAAGAAATTTTGCTTGCAACCCATATTATTGTGTTTATGTCCCAGGGACTTGACAAGAACTCAGTGTGCTAAATCTGGTCATTTTTATTGAGAAACTTTCACATTATTAATAGAGCTTTATGAGAAAGGGGTGTGGAAAAGGAATTATTTGATATAAAACGTACGACTTGCTACATAGGACAATTAGATTGAGCTATGCCCCTAACAAATGAGGAATTATTTAGGCAATGGGCTCTGAGAGTATTTAAAAGTGTGGTTTAGTCTAAATTTATCCTAGTATAATGTGTTCAGTAAATATCTACTAATGCATAATTTATATGCCTAAACTGTTAAGCTAGTTAAACTTTGGTTTTTCCCTAAAATTTTTAGTTTGATTCAATCCCAACGATATTGGGATCTGTAATTTATTTCTTTGCCTTGAGAGATACAAAATTTCCAACCTTAATTTTGAAAACCTGCATTAGATTAACCCAACACAAAGTTAGAATACATGTGCTTGTCAA